TGCCCGAGGCCACCTCCAACGCAGCCCCCACCACCGCCAACCACACAGGGGCCGAACTGCTATCCAGGCAGTCCTGACCCGCGGTGTCCGAGACCTCCTCCCACTCAACCACCACCACCACCAACCACACAAGGGCCGAACTGCTATCCAGGCAGTCCGGACCCGCGGTGTCCGAGACCCCCTCCAACGCAGCCTCCACCTCCACCACCTACTCAGGGGCCAAACTGCTTCCCTGGCAGTCAAGATCCCCGGTGTCCCCCGCCACCGAGCACGCCGTCGTCGTGCTACCCGGGCTCGCCGGACCCTCGCTGTCCGCAGTCCCGCCCCCCTCTGCCGCCCATGCCGTACTTGCCCCCCGACCCCAACCCGCCCACCGCGCCCCCGCAGTCGCGCGTGACCACGGTGCCGCCGCCGCCCGCCGCCACGCCCTTCGTGTGCACGTGCAACGGCCAGACGGTCCGGCCGGACGTGTTCCCGCTGTGCTTCCCGGGCTCCTCGGACCCGCGCTGCCCGCCGTCGGCGGCCGGCGCCGTCCTGGCCGTGCCGTGCTTCCCGGGGTCGGCGGACCCGCGCTGCCCGCCCGTCCCCAGCGGCGAGGCCTCCTACCTGCCGCCGCCCAACTGCTTCCCGGGCTCCACGGACACGCGCTGCAACGGCTTCACCGAGGGCAACAACGGCCAGCCCGTGGGCCAGGGCAGCGCCCCGGTGCCGCACTACCACGTCTTCGTTCCAGCGGGCAAGTACACTGCAGAACATTTTGCCGAATAGGGTCTTTCGCTGCAAGACAGTCTGAACCCAAAGAAGAAAAGCATGATTGCTCGATGGCCGAATGCCTTATTTGTGTAAACATTACTTGGATTTTACTTTTCTGAAACACTTTATTTTCTGTTGATTTAATGCACACCGATGAACTAAGTGTGCAACTGCTTATCAATTGTAAGTAAATGTGCAAATGCAAGTTGGATACTTCTTGCAAGTGTGCAACTCCGAAGTTGCAGTTGCACCGTCAGTTTTATCAGTGTAATTATTAATGAATCGTTTTCTTTTTTTCGTGCGGTGTCAGTTTTTATGCCCGGTCATCTGCCGGCCTCTGTCCTCACAGCCGTCCTCTGTTTACAGACCAGCTGCACCGCGTCAAGAGGGAAGCTGCCGCTGAGCCGCCGCCGGCGAGGACGGCCCGCCACGCCGTCCCGGACAAGCAGCCCGAACAGGAGGTCATCTCGCTGCGGCTCGGCGTCCGGGGCCTCCGCGTCGGCCAGCAGCGGCCGCAGCCCGCGCACGAACGAGCGCGCCGCGCGGCCGAACCGGCTGCGACACCTGCGCGATCAGCTGAACCCGCGGCACCGGCCACCGCACCCGCACAGAACGCCTCTCCGGACGGCGTCGTCGGCGCCCCCTTCCTGGTGGTGGCGGCCGCGCTCGTCCTGGCGACGCTGTCCGTCGGGGCGCTCGTGTGGCGGTCCAGGGCGCGGCGGCAGCCCAGCCTGCTGGTGCTCTAGCCCGCGAGACACGTCGCCGTCGACGACCATTTCGAACTGAAGAACAACTACAACTTCAACACGTTTCTCCGAAGTAGGGAGTGACTCTAAAGGAAAAGACAAGTCGCCTTCCACCGAGAGAGGACACAGACGGATTTTGCTCTATGACGATCTAGGGTAATTTTTACTTTTGTTCATATTGTAGTTTTGTTTATACGTTAGTTAATTGTTAGTATTAATGTACAGTCCCGAATTTTGTGGGCGATTCCCTCCGTAATACATTGTTATGTACAAAGATCGGGATGAAGGTGAGAAGGGTTAAGGCTGTTAAATAGGGGTGAAGAGGGAGAGACCCCGCTGTGTATCGATAGCAGTACAAAAGTAATTTAGGGGAGTAACACTAGCCGTTCAGCAAGGGTTACTCTCCGCGTTTCTACGTGTGTGGCAACAACTCATTGCGTGTTTGCTGTTTGTTTGTTTTTCCTATGCTGGTGAAGGCGCAACTCATTCTTGTCTCATCTGTCGCTTCCATTTTTTTTTTCTTGCCACACGCTGTACAAACGAAAAACCTTAATGTCCATGGCATTTTTTTTCTGTATTTATTTGTACTTTACATGTAAATGATTGACAAGTGCCATGAATGAAAATGTTTGCCGTCGTTTCGGGAGAGCGCCTGCGCCTGCAGTCTGTTAACAGAGTTTGGCTCATACAGGCAAAGAAAATTCCATGTTCTTTCAGAAAAAAAAACACATTAAGAATGTCGAATATCCAAGAAGCCACGGCTCTCTCGACAAGGTGGCAAACCCAAAATGTGAAAAGGAAGTTACCAGTTTAATTTTTTCTTACGGTGTACGCTTATGTGTATCAACGCGCTCAATCATTGCCCAAGAGCAAAATAAAGATTATTTTTTGCATCTTTGTAAAAAGCTTGTCGTTCAATCTCTGTGGCAACCGCCCACGCGGGTCTAGGGTAGGCCACCTGTCCGTCCGGAAGATCGGAAGTGTGGTCTACCTCTACGCGCCCGCCCACCGTCAAGGTGCGGTGGCAAGCGACCTTCACGAGCTGGTAGGTTTAAAATTTTCCAAAATTTCCCGGAAAATATCCGAAAATTCCAGAAAATATCCGGAAAATAACGAAAAACTTCTTGGATCTGGGATATTTTCTATTTTTCCCGGAAATGTTCCTGAAATTTTCTTGAAATTTTCCGGAAACTTTCCAGGGCTTCCAGCCCTACGAGCAGAATTAAAGGTAGGGAAAAGAAAACACTTCACGTCAGTATTATTGTGCCGAATTTTATTTATGACAAACGTGTAAATTTACTTATGGAATTATTGAAAATACTGTCGGAACACAACAAAAACGCGAACACAAACACATGTGTTTGTTTCTTGTTTTTATTTTTATCGAGCGCTCACACGCTGTCACACACACACACACACACACTCACACACATTTAAACTTTTTGGTCTTGGATTTCTTGAAGAGTTTTAGGCCTTCACGACGCTATTGAACCAGTCGCCGAAGCCCTTGGCGCCCGCAGCGTTCGCCTCCTCGTAGCCGACCATGGTCTTCTTGCAGTCCGCGTACCACCTGACGATGTTGGGGAACTTGCTGAGGTCGTGGCCAACCGCCTGCAAATCGATATCAGATATTCATTAGTTTTCGTCAGAGCACGAACATGTTTTTTTTTTTTTCTACTTTCGCGTCGTTCAGCCAATCACTTACGTCGGCGGTGGAGATGCTGGCGACGAGCGAGTGGTCGGCGATGGTCAGCTTGTCACCGGCGGCCCACTTGGACTCGCTCAGGAAGCCGTCCAGGAAGCCGAGGGCCTCGTCGAACTTCTTCACCTTCTCCGCGTCCTTGGGGGCGCCTCCGAACATCATGGGGTACTGCGGGAAGAAGGAGAGGGCAGAGGTCAGAGAGCTGCTAAGGTGCAGGGCAACGGGGCAGTCATGTAAAGTCGCACAGTCACGGCACTCACGTAGATCTCCCCGAAACGCAGGTACAGGGTGCCCATGTCGAAGTACAGCCTCTGGTGCACCACGGCGCGCTTGGCGGCGTCCTTGGGGTACAGGTCGTCGTTCTTGCCGTACTTGTCGGCCAGGTACTGCTGGATGGCGCGGCTGCAAAGAACAAAACCCGTGCGTGTAAAGACCTTGAAAGTTTGCGTAAAATTTCAGGAAAAAACGAAAAATTTCCCAGACTTTCAGAGTTTTAGGTTTCCGGAAATTTTCCGAAATTTTCAGGGAGATTTTGTAAATTTCCAACCCTAGCGGTCGGTTTGGTACCGCTTCGCCGCTACACCGCGCGGTACTCGGCCGCGGAGTATCGGCACGGTCCGGTCCGGTCCACTCACCTCTCCCACAGGCTGAAGCCGTTGTCGTTGATGGTTGGGATTGTGTGCTGGGGGTTCATCTGGTGACAAACAATAAAAAACAAGACATTAGTTTTAATAAGTCCGCATAAGTCCGCTACTCTTTGACGTAATAAATCTTTGCAGATAGGCTGCGCAGACTCGGCCTCCTGCTGCTGTCGCGTTGAGAGGGGGGGGGGCAGGAAATTGGAAATCGTCTAAAGGGAGATGAGCTTTCAGACGGCGACGAGCAGAAGAAGTTCATTCATTTGACGTTCCATTCCGGGGCCCCGGCGCCGGCGCCCGTTCAAAAACGTGACGCGTCGCACGGCACAAGCCTCCAGGGGAAACGACGCGCTCGCTGGGCTGCAGCGGGGCCCCCGGCAGGGAACGAGCCCAGGGAGGGGAACGCGCTTAAACAACTACTAGGCTTCAGGAGGTATGGGGGCGGGGGTACGTTTCTCATGGCTTGCAAAAAAAAACAAAAAAAAACACACATTTTAAAAGTAGTGTTTTTTTATGAATTGATACTTGCGTCGTACCCCCCCCCCC